TCGCTGCCGTCGCGCGCTTCCGAGCACGAGATATTAAGTTTCTTCAAGTACGCACGCAATACCTGACGGTTTACCGCATTGTCATCGGCAAACAGCACATTCCAAGAGGATTGTGGGTTCAGTGGCTTGACGATGGGCGGCGTAGAAGAATGTTCCACCTTGCCTTCTTGGTCTCCAATTGCCGTATCCAGTTCCACAATCGAATGTGCCAGGGTCTTGGAGATGGGAGACATGGGAGCCTCCATCAATGGCGGAGATATACGACCCTGGAGCCATCCTTGTATCTCACGCTTAGGCGTTGAAACGAGCGGACCCGCAGATAGCGGTGACGGTACCTCATCGTGTGCAGAGGCCGGCTCAGCTGGACAAGCCCCATCGGCATCTTGCTCCGCCGTGGCAGGTGAGAGGGGCGGGCAGGAGTTTGGACAGCTTCCTGTATCCGTACGCATAGATGCCATACAAAAGGCGAATACTTCTTCAAGTCGGGCAGGTCCCACGGGCTTCTGCAGCAAGTATATGAGGCCACCCGCACGCTTGTACTCTTTGCAAAGAGCCAAGTGATCACGTCCGTGATAGAGATTGGCCAAGACAACCACGGGAGGAAAGTATTTGCCATCCTTCAGCAACATCCTTAGAAAAGACACGTCCGTGTTCATTACCAAAATATGGTGGCTCGATTCTGGTGTCTCCAAAAAGCAAGTATCCGTCGGGGCCTGATGCACGTCCACTCGAAAGCCCCACCACGACGTGAAATATTGTCGCAGAGAACTTGTTATGAGAGCAGCGCCCTTCGAATCCAAAGTCTGATTGAGTATGTGCACCGTGCATGATCGAGACACTTGCAGACGAGGCATGTACACGCTGTTCTGCGAGGATGAAAGGGCCATGTCGCACGATACGATAATATCTGTGCCTTGATGGGGAGTGCTTTCCACATGTACAACGCCATTCTCCATATTTCTCACGAGCTCATTCACAATCGACAAGCCTAGGCCTGTGCCACCTTTTAAGGGATCCTCCTGAGAAAAGGGCTGGAACAGGTGTTGATCCAGAAAAGAGCGAGAAATTCCACAGCCAGTATCTTTGACACGAAAACTAGCACGAATTTTGTGCTCAGAAATAGGCGTGTGTTGCAGAGACACGAGAATGTATCCCTGGTCCGTGAATTTCAATGCATTGCCGATCAGGTTGGTGAGAACACGCCGTATACCGCCACTGTCGCAAAAAGTGAGCCAGCCCTCGTTCCGCTTTTCGATGTCGATCACCAGCTCAATAGAGGAACTTTTCGCTATGCGCTGGGAATTGGAATGGCCAGGGTCATACATGGAGCCAATCGTGGATTCATCCTGTCCGGTCCGTCGTTGCCCCAAGTGACCCACCAAGCTGCTGTCACAAACTTCCTGAAGAAGTTGTACCAAATCCACATCGCAGTACTGTGTGTGCTTCTCTTGCTGGATACTAGAACTGTTCACATCACTGGATAACTTTGTATAGTCAAGCACATGATTAACAAGCTCCAGAAGACCATGCCCGCATGATTCGATCGTGTGCGTATAGGAACGCTGCACGTCATCCAACTTTGTATCAGAGAGAAGTTCAGTTGAGGCAAGAATGCCATGCAATGGTGTTCGTAATTCATGGGACATGTTGGAGATGAACGAGGACTTGGCTCGGTCCGCCAGTACGACAGACTGCATGGCGACCACATCCATGATCATGTAACCGATGGCGCGAACATGCTGGATGGCCGTGTGTACCATTTGGTCCAACATAAATGCATATTCTCCTGAACGAGAATAGCAGCACAACAAGGCAAATGGTTGGCGATCAACGCCCATAATAGGAACAACTAGGGTATCCACCGTGTCCCCCGGCAAAAGTCTCGCAAGGGCTTCCGGAATTTGGTCTCGAAAGTGTTGACCAAAGTGAGTAGTCGTTAAAAATTGGCAGAGTGAATTGACATGCTCAACTTGCATAGGCCTAGTTCGTTCTGGAACGCATACATCCGTCTCACTCGCACCGAACAGAGCAAGGGGAGGGACTTGAGTGATACTGGCCTCTTCAGAAAACCCCTCGGGTAGCTGGTCCCATCCACTTTGATGCTGTCTAGTCATGCGTGAGTGGATTACATGCTCGTTGACCTTGCCATGGATACTCGTCGGCTTCTTGGTCAAGACGAAAGACGACAGGTCAAAAATGACCACACCTGATACATCCATGGAGACATGCAGAGTTTCGGCTGCAAAGTTAAAAACGTGCATGTAGTCACCACTCAAAGTGCCTCCGGTTGCTCCCTCCCCATGAGAGGGAGTGGGTAATACGACAGCTTGGTCTGCGTCGTCCTGTTGCTCAGAATCGTGTAAAAAATGCCGCAAAAAGTACTCGACGCAGCGCTTTAGCTCATCACGGCGTGCAAGTTGTGCATTACTTAAAGACAAATCAATGCTGTTGGTAATCATACTCGTCAGGTCCATAAAGAGTCGCTTTTCGCGCTCATCTGGAGGTGGTCGTGCCTTGACGTCACCCATGCAAAAAGACCCCAGAATCTCGCCTTGTGACCCATACAACGGCGTGGAAATAAAGAATTTAAGGCCATTTCGGTAAGGACTTTGACGAAAACGCCAGTCCTTATCGATATCAGGGATGACCATCAGCTGGTTGCGAGGAAGTAGGAGTGAGTGGGCAGCCATAGTTTGTGAAAAGCCAGTTTCGTCCCTGAAAGATCGATGGTTCGACTTACTGGTCCATTCCGTGACAACAGAGAAAGGAAACAGTCCTTGTTGCGCAGGACACGATCCTTGCTTGACATCCTTGACAAGAGATTCAGGGCCTAGCAATTTGATAGATACATACGGCATGTCGAGCATGTGAGAAGACATTCTCTGGACTTGCAGCATGCTTTCGTCGCTGTGCTTCTTGATTTGATTACTGTACCACTGCGCGCGGGATAGTGCAACATGGTCTGCGGGTAAATATACAGGCAAATGATTGTGGGCAATAAAATGACTCTCCATCCTTGCGGCCAGCTCAGATAGCAGTCGAGAATCATTAGTAGAAGTTTTACGCAAGAGGGTAGTTTGAGCATCACGGGTAGCCTTGGCATCCACAAAATGCTGTTCACAAGGCAGGGCGGGAGTTACCGTGGCATCAAAATTTCCATTCACGTAAAGCGCAGAAAAGGCCTCCCATTCCAAAGGCAGAGGCTCTATCCCTGGCTTGTATGTCAAACATTCATCATAACTGAAAACATGGACGTGGTCTTGGGTATATTTCGATGAAACTTGATCGGGCAAAGCCTGGTCCATGTGGTGTGACAGAAATGTCCGTGCGTCTCAAACCGGGTGCCGATCGACGACTATCAGCTAATTGCGGTAAATGAGCCTTATGCATCTGCCAGAACTAAACACCAGACCATTAGTCATGCGTACATGATAAAGGTGACTTTTGTGGAGCATCGTTATGCTCGAAGCAAAGGCATCTACGTATAGGTTACAAGACTTGACGCTCCGTGGCAGATGCAGCCGCTGTGTACGCGAATGCATCTTCCTGGGTTCGCACCAGAGAGGCTTCAATAGATTCAGATCGGGCATGAAGAGCGTCTGCCTCTAATTTAGCATCGCTGAGTTCCATAAGCGCACTTTGAAGCGAAAAGTGCGGTGGAATAGAGCTGCCAGTCCCGGTTCGATTGGTAGCCAAATAGTGAGATCGAGTTATTTCATTGCGTGAAGCGCGTAAAGAATCAATCTGATGCGTGAGTTGCCTGGTGCGGTGGGCGTACCTCATTGTTAATCTCTGGGGTCAGTGGTGACCGAAGCGGTGCTTCAGGGACAAGCCATGGCTTTCTTCCACTGTTTTCTTGTGCGCCGGAAGGGGGTGGGATGTTCCAGCGGCTGCCAGGGCGAGAGGGGGGAGGACCTGGTGGTTGCAGAGGCGCTGTTTGCACAGAAAAAGTTTCATCCGCGTTATTTTGAGTTCCTTCATATGAACTAGTTGGTATCATTTTCAATATGTATATATTTTATAGCACCTTGATTCCCAAACTCTCGACCCGTAGAGACCGCAGACCTGCTGCGACGGTGATGCACCAAGGAGAAGGGGTGATCACGTGATAGAGCTCAGCCCTTGCGAAGCAAAGACACGGCTTTCCTTAGGCGTGTCGACAGCTAGACCATGTCTAGCGTGCGTGTAATGGGGGCACTAGGTCATCTGAGCGTGATCTGTCGCGTCATACCCCAAAGAATTCCTGCCAGCACTTTGCGCTTTCCCGGGTTCGAATTGGGTCGTGCTTCGTTCTCGACCACCCAGTGTTGGCGCAACGAGGCTATTAAGAACGTCTCCGAGGAGCCCAAAAAGGAGGCCACTGCTTCGTCTGAGACAAGCTCGGTCAAAGATGCGACTCCTTTGTTGAACATTGCGCTCCCCAACCAGATCTCGACAGCCCCGGTCAAAGCAGGGAGTGTGTCCACATATATGTATTCTGCCGACGCCCTGCCGCCGCGGCAAGATCCGCTTCTGCACTTTCTCGTCAACCTGCTGATGCGCGATGGTAAGAAGGCTTCGGCAGAGCGCTACATTGCTGACATGCTTGGACATATGGCCAAGCTTACGAATTCGGACCCGCTTCCGCTGGTATACGAAGCTGTGGAACTCGCAAAGCCGATTTTGCGAATGCAATCACGAAAACAAGGTGGTAAAACCATGCAGGTTCCTATTCCCTTGAATGCACGGCAAAGCACGCGTCGTGCGCTTGTATGGATCATTGACGCGAGCAACCGCCGCTCTGACCGTTCAATCAGCCGACGCCTAGCTGTGGAGATGCTGGCCATCCTGGAAGGAAACAGCTCTGTTTTGTCACGCAAAGAAGAGCAACACAAGGTCGGTATGATCAACCGCGCCAATGCTAGTATCCGTATTTAGGTACAAAAAAGTGCTTCAAGCTTTGGGACGTCCAAGGATAAGTCTGCGGAGAGAAGAGGTTAAAAAGGTATGGTGCAAAAAAGCTCCCAACGTGGGGCTCGAACCCACGACATTCAGATAACTCCTCGTTTTCGAGGAGACTCTAGTAAGAGTCTGACGCTCTACCGACTGAGCTAGCCGGGACAAGTTCTGCTGGCCGGATAAATTTTGGCACTATTTGATGCTATCAGCAGTTGGCATGTCAGTTCGAAAAAAGATGCTCCCAACGTGGGGCTCGAACCCACGACATTCAGATTACTCCTCGTATTCGAGGAGACTCTAATAAGAGTCTGACGCTCTACCGACTGAGCTAGCCGGGACAAGTTCTGACAATGGAACAAGATAGACGCTACAAAAATCCTGGCAGGAATGGGGCAACTAGAACCATTGACGATTTCGGAAGCCGAGGAGCTCCATGAGTGTCTGAGCCAGTGAGCCCAAGGCACCCTGAGAACGCTGGACTGGCTGTCCTTCCACTCGAAGCTTCCATGCCTCTTTTCCGTCGATCTGTACAGAGACTTTAAGGACCGGCTGCTTGGGATTGCGTGTGTCCACTTCCAGCTCGGTCCACTTGTGGTTACCATCAGGGAGGTACTTGAGCAGCACCTCTTCACCGGGAGGGTCGATGCTGTGATCTTGCGATAGTGTGCGAATAGGTATGTAGAACATGGAAAGGGGGCTCGTGCTGAACTCGATCACCTTGTCGCGGAACGACACGGAGGCAAACTCGTGGCGATCACCGCTCAGAATGATGACATTCGGCACGTACTGCAGGACATCGAGTAGTGCCTGGCGCTCTTCTTGGTAAAAGCTCCAGCCGTCGGTGCGGCCGTCCAGGTCCAAGGGCCCGCCCCAAAGACTCGTAAAGGGCACCGACGAGACCAGGAACTTGAACGTGGCCGTGTGGTTGACATCCGCCAGCCAGTGCAGCAGGGCATCGCGCTGCACATCGCCCAGCATAGTGCGCTCGTCGCCTAAATAGCTGGGCGCCGTGCGGAATTTGCGCGTGTCCATGACAAAGAAGGCCGAGTCGCCGTAGCGGAACGTGTAGTAGTGCTCGCCCGCAGTCAGCGGCGCCGGATTGGCGGCGCCGACATACTCGGACCATGCCTCCAGGCCACCTTCCATGCCGGGCGGTGGCGACGGTGCCACCTCTTGCGTCTCGGCATCGTCACTGGTTTCGGGGTGCTCTCCGCCGTAGCCGCCGCCCGTCCAGTTGTTCACAATCTCGTGGTCGTCGTAGATGCCCAGGACCGGAATCGAGCGGTAAATACGGCGGAACGAGTCGGAGGCAAATAGGTTGCGGTACAGCTTGCGGTACGACTGGATTCCAGGGCCTTCGTAGCGCGGCACATCCGCATAGATGAGGTCGCCTAGCTCCAGCAGGAACCGGATGCCAGGGAGAGCACCAGCGCGGTCCACCAGGCGATCCGCCATGAGATCAAAGCCGCGTACGCGGTTGCGCTGTGAGATACCGCCAGGGCCCGTACCGATACCGAGGGCCCGCAGCAGCCAGCTCCACGCCCAGAACTGCGCAGGTTGGTAGGGAAAGTCTGGCTTGATACAGGACACGGTGGCGAACTTGAAGTGGTTCGGGTCGTCAAAAGGCACGGGCTCGCTCTCAGTGGTGTTCACAGGCCGGAACTTGGCCTTGCGGTACGCCGCCAGGCGCGGGTCCGGCCAGGTGACGAACGACACAGGGCGCTCCGGCAGGGGCGCGAACGTATTGTTGTGCACGAACGCAAGACGCCATTCGTACTGCGTTGCAGGCCATAGGTCGTCGAGCGTGGCCGTCGCTGTCCAGTCGCTCTCGTTCGTGAGGCGGAGCAGGGGCCCGCGCTCCCATCGACGTGCGTCGCGGATCGCCGCGATGGCCGATGCGGCGCCATCGCGGTGCACGACGCGGCGCCACACGACGCGCAGGGGTGCCTGGTTGATCTTTTCAGCATCGGTGAGGACATCGTGTCCCTCAATCCCCGACTCCCAGAGGCCCGTGAGAAGCGGCAAAGGTGTCGGATAACGTACGTGGATGGTGGCAGAGTGGGGACTGATCGCGCCCATGCGCGCAAAGCGCAGCAACTCTTCGTGGTGCGAGGGGAACATGTGTGGTGCATAGTACAGATCGAGCACGAAGAGCAGCAGCATCGTGTGCAGACCTAGCTGCAGCAGGTTGAAGCGGCGGTGGGGCGTCGAGTACCCCAACAGCAAGGACCCAAGCGACGGGCGCGTCGGCTGCGAGCGCCCCGAAGAGTACAGATCGTATAGGATCCATGTCGCCAGGTAGCCGAGGTAGACGTGGATCGCATAAAAGCCAAACGCCCCGGGAATGAGGCGCAGGAAGGCAAGGGCGAGCAGGCGGAACACGACGCTGCACACGCTCTGCATCACCAGCATCGAGCGGGGCGCAGGCGTCAAAGATTCCGCAGGCATGTCTTTTGACGCGGCAAACGGCACGTCCGAGGCGCGGGCGGCCGCAGTGGAAGAGGGCATCGCACGGAGCGGGACGCGACGTGCAGCGGGGTATCGGTGGCCCCAGCGTGTCACGTGGGGTCCTGTCAAGCGTCAGCGCCAGTGTGACTAGGGGTCTGTCGCCATGCTGTACCTGCTGGACTATGGGGCGGGAAGTACGTGCACGCGTCTTACGCAGACATCCAGAGCCTGGCGAACTCGCTGAAGAAGCTCGGACACGAATTTGCGTGGGTACAGACGCCGGAGGACATTCTGCGCGCTGATGTACGTGGCGAGTGCTGACGCAGGCGCTGCTGTTCCCTGGTGTGGGCAGCTTTGGCAGTGCGATGCAGGCGCTGCATGAAAAAGGCTTCGCGGAGCCACTTCGTGCATACATTGCGAGCGGACGCCCATACATGGGCATATGTGTCGGCATGCAGGTGCTTTTTGAGGGCTCGGAAGAGTCGGCAGGCGTCGCGGGGTTGGGCGTCATCCCCGCGCGGGCAGAGCGCTTCTCGTCAACGGACGGCACGCACGGAGCGCGCAAGGCTGTGCCGCACATGGGATGGAGCAAGGCGGAGCTGGTCGAGTGGGGAGACAACGAGGCGCGCGCCTCGCTGGGCAGCCGCTACGGCCTGTCCGCCTCGGCACCGCGGCACTACTACTTTGTGCACTCGTACCGTGTGCCCTTCTGCGAGGGTGTGCGTGACTGGGCGCTGGCGACGACGCAGTATGGTGACGAGACGTTCGTATCGGTCGTGCAGCGCGGCAATGTGTTTGCGACGCAGTTCCACCCTGAAAAGAGCGGACGCGCAGGCCTCGCGCTGCTCGATGCGTGGCTGTCGCGCACACAGGCAGAGCCCCCGAGTGCGCGCCACGCTGTGCCGACGCCTGCGTCGGCGCGCGCGCCGACGCGGCGCATCGTGGCATGCCTCGATGTGCGCAGCAACGACGATGGCGACCTTGTCGTGACCAAGGGCGAGAGCTACGATGTGCGGGAGCGTGCGCCGAATGCGGGCGCAGCGCCCGTGCGCAACATGGGCAAGCCTGTCGAGCTAGCGCAGCGCTACTACGAGGAGGGTGCCGATGAAGTGGCGTTCCTTAACATTACGTCGTTCCGCGAGTGGGCGCTGGGCGATCAGCCGATGCTGTCACTGCTCAACGTCGCCGCTGCGACCATCTTTGTGCCGCTCACGATTGGCGGTGGCATCCGCGACTTTACGGACCCCGACGGCACATTCCATCCTGCGCTGAACGTCGCGCATGCCTACTTCCGCGCCGGCGCCGACAAGGTCAGTATCGGCAGTGAGGCCGTGTACGCCGTCGAGCAGCTGCTAGCGCGGGCGGGCGGCGCGATCAGCGACCCGGCCAAGGCGCCCGAGGAGGCGCTCCAGGGCGACACGGGCATCGAGCAGATCTCGCGCATGTACGGCGCACAGGCCGTCGTGGTGAGCATCGACCCAAAGCGCGTGTACGTGGATGCAGAGGCCGATGTGCCCGCCGCGCACGCCGCGTCCCTCGTGGCGGGCGTCGACGAGCGGCCGGCGACGGCTGGGCAGCCGGCGCGCTGGTGGTACCAGTGCACGGTCAAGGGCGGGCGCGAGCTGCGCGACGTGGATGTGGTGCAGCTGGCACGCGGCGCTGAGCGCCTGGGCGCCGGCGAGCTGCTGATCAACAGCATCGACCGCGACGGCAGCAACAACGGGTTCGATGTGCGGCTGATGGACCTTGTGCGCGGCGCAGTCGACATTCCCGTCGTGGCGAGCAGCGGTGCGGGGTGCGTGCAGCACTTTACCGAGGTGTTTGCCGCGCGCAGCAGCGCGCACGGCGCACCCATCGAGGCTGCCCTCGCGGCCGGCATCTTTCACCGGCGCGAGGTGTCGATCGCCGATGTCAAGGCAGGCTGTGCGCAGGCAGGGTATGATATCCGGTTAGACTAGCTATCGTACAATCAAGTGAGGCCCAAGAGGCGCACACCCTCGTCCATACTCCCGCCGTCCGCGCGCTCGTCGAGGTGCGGGGCGTCCCAGGCGGGGCGCGACCCGATACGAAGCCCGATCGCGACGCTGCCGTAGCCAGGGCCAGAGCCGGCCGCGGGGCCAGCGCCGGCGCTGGGCGAGCGCGCGAGCGGCTTCCAGCCCGTCAGGCTGGGCGACATAGACTCGTCATTAGGTGATTGGGGCACGCCGACCGAGTGGACGGGCGTGGGCGTGCGGCGCGGCGCGCTCAGCGCGCTCAGCGCGAGGGGCGACGACGACGGCGACACCGCCGCACTGCCGAACAGAAACGGACGCCGTGGCGACGCTATGCTGCGGGGCGACGACGCCCCGGACAGGAGCCACGGCGCCACGGGCGCGGGTGGCCGCCGGCGCGCATACGGCGCCGACTCGTCGTATTTGCGCTTCGAGCCGATGCGTGGGCTGGCAGTCGGCATCCACAGCGGCTCGGGAAAAGGAGCGATCGGAGCGGCCGGCGGCGGGATCGACTCATCGAGTGGAAAATCGTACGAGCGCGGCTCTTCGTCAGACATGTCGTCCGACGAGCTGTGTATGTCGACGAAGGGCGTCGCTGATGTGCCCTCGAGAGGGTCGTCCATATCGTCGTCGTGCGTGACCATGTGCAGCTGGCTCGGTCCCAGCTCTTCAAAGAGACTTGCTGACTGCGCCTCGTGCACCGGCTCGCCCCAGAGGCCAGCG